AGGGAGAGGCGGGGGTGACATCAGAAGTAGGATCGTCGAACGGATAGCAGCATAACATTGAGAATTGACTCGTCGGATTAACCACTTAGACGGAGAGTTCCCCATATTCCATTTCATTGGCAACCGAAATAGATCTAAATAGCGTGCCTGGAGCGAAGGAAGGGCTTCAAAAATGAATGGAAAAGTCAAATCAATGAAAGGCCCAGATGTAGCCTTTGTGTGCGGAGCAAGCCTACACTGGCTGAGATGAAGAAAATGTCGACACCGATGAAATGTTTGAAAACATAGACAGCGGAAGGGAAGAAGTCACTCTCAATCCGATCTAGCAAGAAATGTTATACCGATAAAGTCAAGAGAGAGACCTCATTAAGAAAGAAGGCCATCTTCCATCCGCCTTTTTGTTTTAGACAGGGCGAGGCTAGTACGAGACTCCGAACCACGACGGATCTTGTCTTAGGAAAGATAATGGGACGGGAGGCCTATCTGACCTTTTGTTTGATTCCATTTTCCAACCATTTCTTTAGAACCAACCTGGAATGCAAACAAGGAAGGAAAGGGCTGAAATATCCATATCTGATCCAGCAAAAAAAACCTGACCTTAGCAGTGATAGAGATAGCATAGCTGTAGACAGGGGGAGGGCCCGGATTACCTTTTCTATTAGAATAAGGAAGGGAATCGCTTTGATTGCTTGCGACAGCTTATCGATGCTCGTTAGTGGTGAAGTCCCTCAAACCAGAAGTTTCAAAAGCGGGCCTACGAGATAAATTCACTTTACATACTGATATAGCATACCGAAGGGAAGGCCTAATTGTACCACTCCCCCTGACCTTCTGCCTGAACTGATAGAAGTTGGCTTGAGCTGAGCGTCTCTTACAAAAAAGGTTCCCTAGTCGCCTCGGTGGAATGCATTGAAGAAAGGAATCCACTCTCAACCCTTTCATTTTATTTAATAGAATGGTAAGTCGGTCTTATTCTTTTATACGAGTAAACAACTTCTGCTCTAACTCCTTGAGGAAAAAGTCTTGCATCTCGCCCAACTCCTACAAAGCCCACCCCCGAAGGAGAAAAGGAAGTTATCAGCACCGATGTTACTAACCTTATGCTTCGCCAATCTTTATATGCCACGGGGAATCGATCGGTTGAATCCGTTGCAAGCCTATCTTCCGAACCCCACATCAAAGTCTTGTCACCGTGCCCGCTTGGGGTTGGGGTCTGTCTGAGTAAGGAAATAGCTCGTAGCCACGTTATCGGTCTTGTCTTTTTGATAACCTTGAGACCGGCGAAGACTGCGCTCCAGCTGGTGGTGAAGGAAAGGGGGAAGGAACTATAGAATAGAAGGAGCTGGACATGAACCGTCACGGTCTTTCTGGTGAATCAGTGCTGTTTGCATAGCACTCATAGGCTCTGGGACTGATGTCCTTACTCTTCTAGTATTTTCCAGTAAGCCTTGTTGGATGACTCAGAGCTCTTGTGCTCCCTCTTTTCAATATCCCTTTGCTGTCTTCGTAACCGCAGTGAGAGTAGGAGCTCAAGCAGTTGCCACTACAAGACTAGCCGCTCTTGAGTAAATAACAGCTCTTACCGCGCTTGATGGTGAATAAGCCTTGGAATCCGTGTTTAGAAAGCATCCAATTGATATTACAAAAGCATATCCCTTATCTAATTAGAAGGAACTTCTTTCCGGCGAAGTGACAGCGGGGAAGGAAAGCAAGGGACTGATTACACTAGTAAGACACGCCCAGAAGAGGAGGAAGGAAAGGTTGGTTGCACGTTTTTTTTCCGTGTGGGAGTAATGCCTCCCTGCCGATTGCTTTATCTCTCCCCCTATCTCTAAAGGGGGACTCAGTCCTATCAACATATAGAGATCTTGCCTCTGTCGCTGCATAGAGTGATCTTCTTCAATCACCTTTCAATCTCCGAGTTCGAAGGGTAGAACAAGGGAAGGTCAAGGCTTTCCTCTCATTAATCTTTCCACGGCAAAGTCAGCATCTTAGCCCGAAGAGAAAGGATTTCTTCCTCTGCGTCTGCTGCTATTGATGTGCCGATCTGGCGTTATTAAAACCCCCATGTATCTATTGTTTAACAGCTCAAAGAATCCAACTCCAACAGCATATTAACTGATATAGACGGAACGCGCCCCACATTTTTAGGACGTTCCTATCGAACACATATCCTACCTGTAAAGGGAAGATTGGGCAAGACCCTTATCTGTTCTTCTCATCCATACCGTAATCTTTATAGAGAATCTGTCAAAGAATATGAGACCTTTGCAGAAGGCAATCGGTCGGAAATCAATGCCTTACAGCATATCTTGGACTTGGCTTAGCTTCCTCCAAAAAAGAAAAAGCTAGTGGTAGGCTACAAATAAGTGAACTTTAGGTAATAAAGTAACTAGTTATCTCTCAAACAGCGGTTACGCCTTTTCCTAATGCCCTTACTAAACCACCAACTGCGGTTATTCCGCAAAGACCGGATAAGGCGCATCTATCTAATAGCGGACGATTTTTGGCAACTTCGGAGCCCCGCCTGAGAAAGAAAGAATAGATTCCTCACGTCTGCACAGGCCTATGGGCTTTAGCAAGCCCCTTTCCAGTCGTGGCGTATCATTTCAAAAAGTTAAAGGCATATCACCGTCAGTGCGCTGTCGAAAAAAGATCAGTAGGATGATATAGGAGCATACCATAATAAGGATATTTTTGTACGCCTAGGCAGTGACTCTTCCATGTCAAATAGTCTTCCAGTTGAGATTTACGGTTCCGAGTTAGATTCTAATTGCGAGAAGGAGGAACTTAAATCCGATTGTGATGGTGACTGCGTAATAAGAATGGAGAATAGGGTAGGAATGGAAAGGGATAACGGCGGATAGTGAGCTGGATCCCCGGGGTCGCTTGCGAGCATCTTCTTGCTCCTGAGGATCATTATTTTATTTCATGGAATCTCAGGTTCTGAAAGAACGTAGTAAGTGGTTAACTTTGTTGACTCGCTCGTTAGAGGAAGTGAACAGTTGGCTCGAAGAGGGAAGAGATGCGCCGGGTCTTTCTCTTTGAATGGCGGAGATAAATGGTAACAAGTCAATAGACTTGCCTACAGACCCTACTTTTCTAAATCATACAGGATAGGGGAAAACTTAACTTCCTTCCTTGCCGTCAACCGACCTATAGTCGCTAAGATAGTATTGGTTGTATTCATCTGACCGTACTTCCATCCGGTGTTAAAGTTGCGGAGCTCGAGGGATGTCTTTAAAAAGGTCAAGTTTTTTCTTTTTTTAGACGCGGTCGAAAGAATACCTGAGTGAAGGATGGGCACTTCTAATAGTAGGCGTAGGCCCGTCGCCCTAAAACTCATACCTGTGATTAATAAGAATAATTTTCTGAGTGTCCCCGCCCTTATTTAGGGTGTAAATAAGCAAAACATATTGTTGTTGGAGTTAGGCCCAAGAGTGATTTTTGTGATCAGAAAAGAAGCAAAAATAATTAAAAAAAAGTTTGAGTTGGGCTGCGTGTGATAAATATCAGGGGGGGGGGGAATTGTTGACTAAATGAGGCAGGCCCAATGGAGGGAGGCCCAACGCACATGTTCCAAACAAAAAAAAGGAAATCACATAAAATGTGAAAAAAAACCAAAAGGTCTTGGTGGGGCTCGAACCCAGGACCTTATAGAGGTATGCCTTACGCGCGCGCTTGCTGCCACTGGAGTGGCCTATTTCATCCGTTAGTAATACAACAATCAATAAACTTAAAATAAAACATTTTCATGTGATCAACTTCAACTTCTTCCTCGCCCCACCCAAAGCTTCTGCAATTCATTCATTTCTCATCCATTCTCAAAAGTATAAACATCAAACTTGTTGGAAATTTCATAATGATTTCAGAAATGTAAATAAGTTAAGCTAACACTCAAAGATGAACATGAATTTCTAATGGTACCAAATTTTGACCTAATTTTTCAGAAAGTTCATCTTCAAAATTCTTACTACTCAAGCAATATAAATGAATTCTAAGAAAATGAGTAGTTTCAGGGCTATGTTGTCTACATTTTATCTTCACAAATAGAAAGCTAGCAATGCCTATATGAAGAGTTCAAAAGTCAGAAAACTTACCTCAAAAATGGATTTCGTGCTTTGAGTTTTAGCTTGTTTCAAGGTGCTGTAATAATCAGGTTAGCTTCCTTGAGTCCCTAGGAAGCTAATGCAATGCTTAGCTTGAATGGAGAGTGGCTGAAATGGTCTGGAGAAGTCCAATTTCAATGCTTTGTTTTTGGTTATGGAAGATGAAGAAGATGGTGTTACAGTTGGAAAACAGGGATTGAGATAGCCTCTATATGTGTATTAGAGGCTTTGTGATGGATTAGAAGTGAAAACGCACGAGTGAACTTGAAGATTGAGTTTCAAAGTCAGAAATGACAAGTTTTTGTGCTTGTGTTGCAATTTCTGGTTTGGGAGAGAGTGAGGATGTTTGAGGGCTTGCAAAAAATCGTGTGGTATGTTGCAAATGAAGGTTCAATTTATAGGCAAAGGGTTTGGAAGTTTGAAATGATCAGAACACAAAGATCACATGTTAAGGATATTTGCTTGTTTTTGAAGCAAGCTTGAAACATCTTGTTACAATGTGAAGTACAAGGCTTGTAGAGTGATTGAGTACTTTATACATACCTCTTCTAATATTTATAGACTTAATGTGTGCAGAAGGAACAAGTTAGGAGCTCAAGATAAGTTGACTTTGCATAAAGCTTGCTTTACAAGAATGGAATGGTTACTTTCTTCCCAAAATGGCAAATTGCTTTGGATAATGGCTTAAACACTTGGACCATACCTTAATCAATCGTTTAAATGATTAATTATGGAGTGATTTACAAGTTAGAAGCAAGCAAAAAAAAGATTGTGCAGCATAGGCTTGAGATTTGAATTCTTGTTCATCACAAAATGACCTATAATTCAAGTTTGAAACCCTAACTTCACCTCTTCGATTCTCCTAGCTCAAAAATGATCTCATTGATTTCTTAGACATTTTGAAAAGCTTGGAACATTACCTAGAACTTTCGTGTTGGCCATTATGACAAAATCCTCTTGGATCTTGGTGAAAATTGACCAAGAAGTTAGGTACAAAATCTGCCTAAACTAGGTCAAAATGTCACTAAGTGTTTTAGAAAAAGTGCATGACTTCATGAATTTATAAATCAAAATACAAGAACTTAAAGGTCTTTATCAGTAAATAAAAGTTGTAGATATCATCAAGATCTACAACGTTCATGTTGGAAGTTTTCTTTGAATCATCTTACATCTTGGTGAAAAGTTGGCATGAAATCATGAAAAAATAAGACTTAAAAACACAGAAAAATTCGAAGTCTTGAAAAGTTTTTGACTTTTTAAGATGAATTTTGACTTTCTTGATTTCTTGATGATAAAGATTCATATTTTTACATGTCTTGATGAAATTTGATCTTTGAAACATAATTTTGATCAAAAGCTCAAAGTTTAACTTTTGGTGTATCAATTGACTCTTCATCAGTTGACTAAATTTCAACTATCAATTAATTGATCTTGGGAAATGGTTTGAGCCATGAAATTAGGTCAAAATGTTGTATTTGAATCCTTGAGATTGTGCTTCATGCCATTAGATCATGTATTAGTTAAAAAACCTTTGATCAGTCAAATACATTCAAAACCCTAATTTTGACCATTTTTCCCTTTTGATGATTTGAACATTTTTCTTGGGGAATTATGATCCAAACTTGATCAATTGATACATATAGCTTCAAAATTTAGATATTGGTAAAAAACTTGAAGTTTGACTGTAGGTTGACCATAATTGACTTTTTACCCAATAAAGTGGATTTTCAATCATCTGAGCAATTGACTGAGCAAAATTGTTATTCAAAACTTGAAAATTGACATGAGTATTCTTGTAGGTCCATAATGATCTATGAAAGTCAATTGAACCACTAAAAGTCCAATTGTCCTTGTGAAAATCCAAACCCTAATTTGAGGCATCATTGTTTAGGAGATGGCTTAACCTAATCAACAATTGTACAAACTTGAGCTATTGAAGATCTTGTGAGAAATATCATGAGAAAAGAGAGATTAAAATTTGGGGTACAAAAAATGTCTACTTCATTGATTTCATCTCGATGATTTGTTCTGCCAGTTGTTTTTGCTGGCGACTTCATTGGGGAATGATTCGCCAATTGCTAGTCCATCTCGGAGTCTCTCCTAAATCTTGTTTTCTTTTCATTGGGTGTTTATTTTTTTATGCTTTACAGTTATTCATTTGTACATGCACTATCTAGGAAACTTAGGAATAGAGTAGAACATGACACTTATTGTACGAAGGTCCTACTAGCATGGTCATTT